CCTCCACAAGCCACATAAACAACAGTTGTTTTGTTATTTATTTATATAGAGGAAGATAGGTTAGGTGCACAAAATGTCATATGTCACAAAATGTCTCGGAACTCGGAACATGAGTAAATGTTTAAAATGCGTTGTTTTAGAGCTCTTTTATGAAAACTACTTGATTTTCGTCAGGAGGAACATTCCCCATTCAGAGTCTCTTGGTCACAAAATTGAGAATAAGTCGATTTCGCTTGAATGGTTTGAAGATGGGTTTGTAAAGGAAAAGTTGCTTCGCCAAATGTTAATTTTCCTACTGATTAGTTAGACTATCTTATTGCAGGGATATTAATACAGCTCAAGTGGTGGAATACATTTCCCTCCAATGACATTAAACTTACTTTTTGGAAAAATCCTTAAAACACAACCGCAACTTATTCTGATGTTTGGTGAGGGGTTTGCCATCAGCTGGCAAAAAAGTAACGGCCATTTCCAAGGGTCCTTGATTGACGGTTGTACCGATACAACCCTGTAGCACCATCTGAAGGATTTTTGGATCAGGAGGTTCCTGGTGAGTGGCATTTGCTAATTCTGTCGTTTTCTTTTGAATGTCTTCAATTGCAACCTAGAAGAAAATATCGTCTGGGATACTAACAACGTTATGCGGTCACAATTCACAATTATGTAGTATTGGCAATAATATTCCTTGATTAACAAAAGTCAAAGATTTTTTCCACCATTCAAGAAAATAATTGGTATTGAGAAAACTACAAGATATCTTGTTTTTCATTTGATATTGCAGTGAATGACTCCTTTCTTCATATTAAGGAGGTTACGCACAGCGCCATCTGCCCGCGGATAGATCAAGCAACAATGTCAATATATCAAGGAAGTTACGTACAGCGCCATCTGCCCGCGAATAGATCAAGCAATAATGTGTATAATTCTGTCAAATACAGATCCCGAGCTTGAGAGTTACAAACAAATATACATACATACGTACAGGTGAAGCTAATAAAAGAAAGGAACACAGGACTTACCTCAATCGGAGTGAGAGTAATTTGACTTCGAGATACAACTTGAATCCTCGTTTTCACATATGGAAAATGAACAGCCGTTGTTAAAACTGTTTTTCTTTTATACTGTTCACGTAGTTCTCCGTGAGCTCTTCCAGTCATGGTGAATGGAGTTGCATACACGAATCGTTCTGAAAAGTTGATGGTGTGAAACGAATGATAAACACTTTCACTTGATTGGCTTACTTATGTTGAAATTTCGATCAAAGTGAGTTTGTCTATATCTCAACTCGTACTGCTCGAAGTAAGGCTCTACATAAGTTATTTGTATGTATGCTTTCTCAGGATCCAGAGAACTCAGGTCAACAATGTTGGAGTCTTTTATGATTATAACATTTTCAGCGCCAAATCGTTCAGAATAAAAGTTCTGAAAAAAAGCAATAATTTTTATATGAAACTACACGGATGATGTCNTGGAAAAAAAGCAATAATTTTTATACGAAACTACACGGATGATGTCCACCTAACCTCCAATCGACTGAAAATTTCTGGTAATTTTGTGAGTGTTGGTTCTTTATAGATGAACTCTTCTCTGTCCAGATCTCCGAACTTGGATCCGTAAAACCCTACTCTGAAATAAGTGCCAAACATCCTTTTTCCTGACAGCTGATCGATTCGGGTGTAGGCATCGTGAAGTTTACTGTAAAGTTATAAAATTATAATATGTAATTGAAGGTAATATGTATATAATATGTATTACTGAAGGTGATAACAAAGAATGAAGAATGAAATTGAACTCTTCATTTTAATTATTTAAAATAATGAGAACAACTATGTTACATTTAAAATAGTAGAATTTTTTTTTCAAATCGAAGCTTTGATCAATTCCAACTGCTATTTTCCATTATAGATTTATTTAAAAATGGGAATATATTTAGTTTTATTGAAGTTTTTAATGTTTTATAAGCAATTCATTCCATTTTGAAGTCCATTCCCAGTTTCAATTATTAAAAGTTCCGCCATTTTGTAGTAGTTGAAGATATTGACTTCATATTCTAGGGTTGTGAAATATTCGTCAGGAGCTTCAAAATGATGTGTCACAAGACCTCCCTTTCCATTTAATTTTTTTCCCCAGATGGCCCCCAGTCGCCATCTTGAAATTTTCATCTTAAAGAAATGCACTGTATAACAAACAGTAGAATTACTCATTTCATATTCCATTTCCCTGATTTTCAACAAATAAAAATCAGAAATTTATTATTCAGAAATATAACCTGCGAAAATGATTTTTTTTCAATTCACTCACCCATGAATATTTGCTAATTTTTTGAAGTCTCTGTTATTCTCGGCAATGGGTATCAGTACCCTATAAATATCGTTCATCGGTTCGTACATNGGCCTATAGTTTGTTATGAGATTTTGATTGCCAGATTTATGGATAGGAATTATACGTCCCATTTTGAGTTGTTTTGGAAACACACTACTTTCAACAACGCTACTGAAGATTATGTTCAGAGGTCTTATTAAGTTTTCCATATAACCTTTGTAAAAGTAAGATGGCATACCGTCAACTCCAGTTGATGTTTTGGGTTTCAGGGATCTAACTGCTTCACAGATATCTTGTTCGGAAATAAATAAATTCATAAAGAAGGGAGCAATTGCCCCCTTTGTCCTTCCTTTTATACGTCTCAGAAAAAGTGCCTTTGGAAGCAACCAAAAAAGAAGATGAAATCAAGTTAGCAGGAACTTAGCCAAGGAAAAGTTTCACGAGTCACCTGTACAAGTGACTGCTGTTCAAGGCTGCCGTTCAAGATGACAGTTAACTCACAGTTAGTTCTACGTAAATATTTGTCTCAGAAAGGTGATCTACAGAACAAAAATATGTTGATACAGTACTCACCAAATATTCAGCAACGAGGGCAGCAGAATGTACCAAGCACATCCCTGCTTCGGTGTGATTGCCCCTTTCCATGTGTTTCTGCGCCATATTCGCCAACCAAGTAAGTCTCAGATCAGGAGAGTTCTGGTAGCCCTTAGCGATGCGGTACATCAGATCCAGAAGCATCTCGGGATCCTCCTGGAACTCTTTCATCTTCACTGTGTCGGAAAGGATCATGTGGAGATTGAAGACGAGATCTCTGACTTGTTCCGGGAAGGTGGTTTCCTGTAACTCACTATCTCTCTCGCCATATTCTAGAATTGTTTTGAGGGAACGGCGGAGGGAATCGTCGCTGAATGAAGCGGAAGTGCCCACCAAGCTGCTCAGAGACATGGTTACTTGCATTTTCACTCTGGCAAAGTTCTGGAACAGTGTAAGTAGACATTTATAGATATTTCGATAACAAACAGGAAAATGGTTGTAATCTGTAATGGATCGACATCTAAGTCAAAGACGGTAAAACTCGGTGTGTCACAGGGCTCTGTTCTAGGACCTCTACTGTTTCTTCTCTACGTCAACGATCTTCCTCAACATATAAAGGGAGTCTACGTCACAACGTTTGCTGAAGAAATAATATTTTTAGGGACCTACCTAGTCTATCCAAATCCAAGATAGAGTAAAACAAAACAAAACCGAAGCGTGATGTTCACGTGATGGCCCAGTGTCAGATGGAAAGGGCAGCGGTAATTGGTGAATTCGCCTTCTTGGTACGAGTTCGGTACCAGCACAGGGTTGTAATCAGTCGTTTGTGTGGCGTGAATTATACTATATTGTTCAAAATTGTTCTCCAAGATGTCCAGTACAGACACTGCTGATGACACTGTGAGCTATCCTCTGAGTCCAGCCAGGAAACGATCCAAAAAAAGACATTTGAGTGTTGAGATGAAAGAAACAGCCCGACAGCTGTACATATTGATGAAAATGATTATCTCACAGCACGGATGGATATTCACTACCATAACACTTGGTATAAAGACAGGATCTATTAATCCTTTTCAAGACTGTCAATAGGACAAGAAAATGAAGATGATTTTAATAAAATGTTGGTTCAAAAAAGCTATTACTCGACACAAGAGTATTTTGATGAAAACATATCAGAATTTCAATTATTTTATTATACTTTACATTGTTTGAAGTACTTAAATCTTCTAATGTTGAATGACTTCATCATGTATTCAGTGCCGAATGTTTTTAACGTGATGTATCCAATGTCAAAATATTTTTATATATCGATTTAAAATTGTGAAAATTTGTGCTTCTGACGTTTCCCATAATATTTGATTGTCTGATTGTATATTTGTGTTTATAGAAAAATAAAAACTATCTATTCAAACAGAAACATAAAGCATGAAAATTGTGAAATTTATTCAATGAGAGCACTAAGCATTCAATCAAACATAAACTGAATAATCTCTTCTTACAAACACAAATTTATTTATTTTTCAGACTCACCTCTAATTCCTTTATTATAGCAGCATTGTAATCCACCGTTTTCCTCATTACTGACTTCCGAAGTCTCTTACCATCAAAATCTTCTAAAGTCATGTTGCCCAAAGGACCAGGTAACGGTTTATGTAAGTTCATAAATGGACGAAAAGGTGGCCTGTTGTTGTAGCCTTGAACAAAAAAAAGATTTTTGTTAAAAATTTCAAAATTTTCAAATAAAACCTTCAATTTCAAAGTAATAATAAAATCAATGACAACCCCCCAAATGAGAATTGAAGATGACATAAATGAAATTTCTGATCCCAAAATCACAGCTGATATTTTCAATATATTTTTTAGGAAGGCATTCATGAAATATTGTGAAATCTATTCGTAAAAATGACAATTCTGATTTTCAGGAAAGGGTTCCATTGTTCCGATTCCATTTCCAGAAATTGAAATGCTCTCAGTAAAAGCAAAGATGAAAAAAAAAAGGCTACTGGGCCTGATGGAATTCCTTGAGCTATTGAAAGAATTCGGTAGTGAATTAGCTGACGTTTTAACTCACATTCTTTTGAAACAAGTACACTCTTCAATCACTTCGAGCTATTGAAAGAATTCGGTAGTGAACTGGTAGTGAAAGTAAACTGGTGCGTCAAATTTTCACTTCAGACTCGTAATCGGCAAACAGAAATACGTAAATCAAGACAAGAGCCTAATTAAACTTTTTTTTTCGAAAACTGTGTGCTGAATAACAAATATTTGTGTTGTTAAAAAAAACACAAATCAAAGTCAACGTCCTTACATACCTATTTGGCACTAAGAAAAAATAGATCGCTGCTTTTGTCTCCAGAGTATTCAAATGAAAATACAGTAAGTTCTCATCGCAATAAGTGAGATAGTGGGATCATAAAAATCCATACTCCACTATACTATATTTCAAAGTAAACATAAATTATAAACACAAAACTCTTCTCACCATACTAAGGATAGATTATTTTTGATGATTTAAAGTAAAGCAGAAGATTCAGATCACTTCAAAAGATCAATGGAATATGTATTTTTTCCTGATTACTACCCTTTATCCGTTTTGAGACGATGGAGTTAATTGTATTTCAAAAAAATAAAAATGACATATAATTGTATCAAAGGACAAATATTTATCAGGGTTGAAATTATTTTACAAAAATGTTTTACAAATTATGATAGCTCTTACCTTGGAGCTGAGCTCCCATCGACGGAATGGCCATATTCATATTAGGAGGAGGCATCGAGATATTCGGTGGCGGTTGAGCGAAATCCATTGTTATTACCCGAAAACAACAAATTTACCGTACAAAAAACGTAAAACGAGCAATACAAGTGTAACAACTATAACGATGGCATTCGTCCTTGTGCATATAAAAAATCACACATTATACATTTTAAAGAGTCCCAATCATTATATTTGCTTACTATTAAATAACGATTTCATATCTCATAGCAAAATCCAATTTATACTAAGAGAATATGAAAAATATGTTCACTTTGACACTCGCGTAACTCACAAAATGGCGGAAAAATAACTGTCAACTGTCAATATCCAAAGCACAGATTAGAATCTCAGTAGAACCCGAAGACCAGTGTTGCCAACTGGATGAACTATAAAGTAGCTACACATGAACCAAAATTCCGCTACACTGCAAGATATTGGACGTTATATGGTTCATGATATGAATGAAAATATTCAAAAATCTTCTTCTCTATAATCATGTAATGATCTCAGCTACTACGATTATAACGTTTTGACTGTGCATTCAATTATTCAAGTGTCAACTGTCAGCTACGAGTGCTATCCACTGCCTCCTCTTCCATTTTTTCAATATTGGTTATTTGTAGAAAATTCCGCTACTTTATGTCCAAATCCGCTACGCTGCGACCGTCGAGTAAATTCCGCCACAGTAGGGGAATTCCGCTACGGTTGGCAACTCTGCTAAAGACCCAGCCTTAAGCAAGACTGTCTAAGGACCCGATAGTGTTACTACCTCCACGTTTTGGTGACAAATCGCAGTGCGCATGATCAAATCATAGAGGGAAGTTTTTGGATGCGCCGTGAATCGGCAACGTTGTCATGTCTAAAAATTTTCATGGAATTTACCACATTGACGACGTTTCGCTTGCGAAATCATGATGATTATAAAGATGATTATAAAGAGAAGTTTGTGGTGACTAATATTACCACTGGTTTAAGTTTGACGATAGCCGTGTCAAGTAATATTTCGTACTTATATTTTTGAATGTATTCAAGAGGTGTATTTGTAGCAGATACAAATAATATATTTTCATCCAGGGCTTTATGAATTGTGCAAAGCAATAACGTTAAAAAAAACTTTGTGAGTTTTCCACTTGACAGTATACAAAACCGCGACAGGGTTTCGCAACAGACATTTATGTAAGATACCTATCAGAGGTTAATCTCTCCGAGCAAACCTTTTTGCCCCATTAGTTGACTAGGGTAAAAACCACAGAACACAAAATATATGTTGGATTTGCGATGTTTCTTGTTTTATTCGGGGATTAGTTTGTTTCCAGTAGGACCGAAGCGCTTTTGCATTAAAAAAGATTCACTTTATTTAGTTATGATGAACTCCATAATTGTGAAGAAGAAATTATATTTCATGGTCAATTTATATTTTTCGGTATTAAGTAATAACCAATTATCAAAACATTTTGAAAATGATTCAATATTTCATTCACACTTATTTCCTGAAAATGAGTTTGTAACAAAAACGACAGTGATAAATGGTGAATATTTTGTGCGAAATGAGAATGACAAACGACGACTGATATACCTTTAAAATCAATAACTGTAGCCTTCTGAATCATTTTACAATGAAATGTATGGCAAATTTTAAATAATACCCTGATTAATCCGTAAATGACGTCAGAAGCCTTGGTAGTGACAGCGAGAGCAGAATGCAGGACAGCGGACAGCGCTGAAAAGGTAACAGCAGTGGTGGCAACAGATCACAAAAGCTACGTAGTTTTGTAATCTGTGGTGGTGGCGTTTTTGTTGATATCAAGTTTTTGTTTGTTTTGGGTAAAAAGCAGACAGGTTATTCTTTATTTCCAGATGATAACTAGGAAAATATGATTATGAGAGCATGATTAAATAAAGAAAACTGGTCACTCTTTAGGAAATACATTTATAATGACTGAAGAAAAACTAGTCACAGAAGTTCCTAGTAGCTTAAAACAACTAGCAAGACTAGTTGTTCGCGGATTTTATTCTATAGAAGACTCTTTAATAGTAGACATGCTCGTAAGAAATCCATGCATGAAGGAAGATGATATCTGCGAACTTCTGAAATTCGAGAGAAAAATGTTGAGGGCGAGAATATCAGTACTGAAAAATGATAAATTTATACAAGTCCGTTTACGAATGGAAACTGGCTCAGACGGCAAGGCGCAAAAGGTCAACTATTACTTCATAAATTATAAAACCTTCGTGAACGTCATCAAATACAAGCTAGATTTGATGAGAAAAAGATTAGAGACTGAAGAACGAGATGCAACCAGCCGAGCAAGTTTCAAATGCCCCGGTTGTCTGAAGACTTTCACAGACCTAGAAGCCGATCAATTATTTGACTTCAATTCCGGAGAATTCCATTGCACGTATTGCCGTGAAGTTGTTGAGGAAGACTCCTCTGCAATGCCGAAAAAGGATTCTCGGTTGTTATTAGCAAAGTTCAATGAACAGCTGGACCCACTGTACATTTTGCTGCGGGAGGTGGAAGGAATTAAATTAGCACCAGAGGTATGTAAAGTTCAATAGGTAGTTTCAATTTTTTATGTTTGAAGTAAGTTGTTTTTTGCAAAAGGTTCACAGACCAGTTAGTTTACAGTTGCCCCTGGACTTCATATTTTATTTTGTATAATGTTCTGTAAACTTTTCCAGTTTTCTTCAATTAGTAATTTCTGGCAAAAAGACTATTTGATCAACGTGAATCTCTTCTGGTTTATTACATTCACCATCTTTCCTTTTTCTTATCAAGTCAAACATGCAGTGGGGTCTTATCTCCACCCCCCAAGTATCCTATTCAATTAACAATCATTTCGAAAGAAAACTGACTTTCTAATATTTTGAGGAATGTTCACTTCAATGTGGAGAATATATCGATGCTTGAAAATATAATTTGCAGCACTATAACATTGATATATATCTTTCTTATATCAAAAACTTCTTCAAGCACTTTAAGCTTTCAGAATAGGTCTCTCAGGGTTTTCGAAGAATTATTTTGTCTGGTTGTTTCCAGAAGTGATTATTCCAAGTCGAATAAATATCAAAAAAGGTTATTATTTACAGGTATTAGAGCCGGAACCAGTGGATATTAGTACTATTAGAGGATTGGACAAAAAATCCAATTTGCCAGCAGGTCAGGAATGGTCTGGAGAAGCTACGAGAAAATCTGGATTTGCTGTCGAGGAAGCTAGGGTAGATATTACTATCGGAGAAGAAAGTAATTCCCAGGTTACCCGTAAGGAACAACCCATTTGGATGACTGAGTCGACTGTAATATCTAATACCGATGCCCAAGACTCCAATCAAGCTACTGATAGTATTCTTGATATTGATAGTGTGTCTGCAGGTTTGTTTTGCTTTCTGTATAACTGTAGTATATGATTCTTTGCTGATCTTTGAAATTACTGTCATTAAAATAACTTGGTTCAACAAAGACTAACAGAAGTTTATGCAGAAGATTAACACAGATGACTTATAATTATATTGACTAAAATCTCAGAAATGCATTTCAGTCAGGAACAAAAATATTTGTCATTCACATAATTTTCACAAAAAGGTTATAATTGAACACACGTGAAAACTATATCGAACTAGTCAAACATTCTAATTTTATGAGCAACTAAAAGTCCTTGTAGTCCGGAAATATTTTCATTGATTTATTTGATCTCCATTCTGAAGATGATCACTTGGTGATCGAAACACGTGTTGAGGTGTTGAAATAACGGTTTGGTGTTGGGAAAAAACTCCTGTAATGAACCGCACAATTTTAGTGATCCCGTTAGTTAGGGAAGCCACAGATTATGCTGTAGACGACCCCTCCCAATATAGAAGGCCCCCACACTCTGTCGAATGAGGCCCCCATGTCCCCCGTTAACGGATGAATAACTTTCTCATCCATCCCACCCCAGCCAGGTAGGGGTATCCCGTGAAGGGTGGCACTGATGTCTAAGGACTTCATGCCGTCATCAATCAGTCACGAACCCATTGGTCCTACTCAAGACCAACAGTCAGTCAAAAGGGTAGGGGAGCTGGTCTCCAAACCTGGAAGAAATCAAGATGACATTCTGCGACAATTTTAGTGATGAAACTATTGCAATTTATTGTTAAAATTAGTTATTCGTATCAGATATCTAATTTCATAGCGGTAACAAGTTGGATTAATGAATATTTTATTTTTAGGTGGCAGTGGAACCGGTAAAAATGATGATATTATGTCTGTACTATTAGCACACGAGAAAAGACCAACGACCAACAATGCCGCCAATGCTGTCAAAGCTCTGAATAATGATTCAGATTCCAGTTCAGATGAAATGAACGAAGTGAAAGATGATATCGATGACATTGATATGATGGACAGTGGAGATGAAAACGAAGATATTCCTACGGTTACAGTTGGAAATAAAACGTATCTCATTACTGAGCTCAAAGACTCGATTATTGCAGAAATGACCCAAGCTGAAAAAGAGATCTATGTCCAAGTTTTCCAGGATTATTACTCTCATATGAGTTACTAGTGACATATTTTTTGGTACTGATTTAGTATATATATATATATTTTCCCTATTGTGGTTTAATAAAAAATATCAAATCATTTTAATGTTAATAATCGATATTCGTGCTTATATACAGTGTAATATTCGAGATGAAGACGCCTGCATTTCCCGCTATTTGAAAGAATACAGATTCGAATTTTTGCAGAGATATACAGATTAACTAACATAACAATTATCTATTGAATGTAACCCTTGTTGGTCCTCCTTCTAGTTGAGTTCATTTTTCAAGTTATTTTCTATTTGTTTGATAACCCATTTGGTTTTCGAGATGCCGAAATTTTAACAAACCTGTCTTGTACTGGCTGAAAGTCGACCTCGAATTTTCGGCCTTGTTTCATACACTTTACTTCTCACACAAAAATAAAAATCGAGGGGTGTTGAATCGGGAGACTGTGGTGGCCATAGTTGAGGACTGTTTCTTCCTATCCAATACTTGGAAAATTTTGATTGACTATTCGTGAACGACACCTGAATTGTGGATGGATGCGTTATCTAGCTGCAAATAGACATCTTGTTTCATCACAACATTTCTCATCTGAGAAGTTGACAAAACAAACTTCATTCAATGATTCTTTAAAGAAAATAGTTTCAGTTATTCTATCTCCTAAAATTTCACACCAGATATTGACTTTCTGGGAATATTGCTCTCTACAATTAATAATCCAGTGAGGATTTTCTTCGGCCCAGTCTCTGCAGCTCTGAGATGATACATTTCATTAGTTATTAATTAGCCTCAAAAGTAAATGTTTTGTCAATGAATGCAAGAATTTCTTTATGCAGTACTCTTCCTGAGTATATTCAGAAACTAGACAATTGTTTATAATTTCCTTACCGCCAATAGAGAAGGTTTTAGAAATAGCAGTATATAATCAATTATTAGAGTTTATTGACAAAAATCAAATGTTCATCAATCTGGTTTTCCAAAAAAATAAACATTCTTGTAAAACATCACTACAGTTATCATTAACTAAATTTACTAATGAAACAGATAAAGGTAAATATGTTGTAGCTGTCTTTTTAAATTTCAAAAGGGCCTTTGAAATTATTGATAGAAGTATTTTGCTTCAGAAGCTGAGAAGATATGGGACTGAGGGGATGGTTTATCAATTGATAAGTAATTATTCATCAAATAGGAAACAGAGAGTATGTGTGAACGATTATTTCTCATCATATATAACGAATAACACAGGAGTACCACAAGGTAGTGTGCTTGGTCCCCTATTATTTATTCTGTATCTGAATGAACATCAGTAAATGTTTTGTCAATGACTGCAAGAATTTCTTTATGCAGTACTCTTCAGACACTAGACAATTATTTATATTTTCCTTACCGCCAATAGAGAAGGTTTTAGAAATATAGCAGTATAATCAATTATTAGAGTTTATTGACAAAAATCAAATCATGTTTATCAATCAATCTGGTTTTCAAAAAAAAACATTCTTGTGAAACATCACTACAGTTATCATCAACTAAATTTACTAATGAAACAGATAAAGGTAAATATGTTGTAGCTGTCTTTTTGGATTTCAAAAGGGCCTTTGCAACGATTGATAGAAGTATTTTGCTTCAGGAGCTGACAAGATATGGGATTGAGGGGATGGTTTATCAATTGATAAGTAATTATTTATCAAATAGGAAACAGAGAGTACGTGTGAACGATTGTTTCTCATCATATATAACGAATCACACAGGAGTACCACAAGGTAGTGTGCTTGGTCCCCTATTATTTATTCTGTATCTGAATGATATACAATTAGTTACAGACTGTGAGTTCATCAACTTATTTGCAAATGATACCTTATTGGCCTGTACTGGAGTAAATTTAGAAGAAACTGTTGGCAGAAAGAATGAAGTTCTAGAAAAATATCGGAAAACCAATAAAATGAAACTTGACGTTAAAAAAACAAAAGCAATGATAATTACTACTAAATTCAAAAAAATACAAACAACATAAATACAAAAATTGAAGATGAACGTATGGAAATAGTAACATCAGTGAAGTATTTGGGATTGCAACTTGATAATTTTGATTACAAACACGATATATGGAGTAAGAAAACTATTCTGAACAGTATTTTCTAATATGTACTTATTTCGATATGTTTAACATGGCGTAAAATATCGAGAATCGACCCTGTTCAAAAACTCTCAGTATTGAGGTCAGATTTCTGTTGAGTGCCCTAAAAAATAGGCCATGTAAAACCCAAATGGCTACAGCTATAAAAGACCACTATAAAAGCATCCCTAAAGGTAATGAAGTATTAAAGATTTATCAAAAGGGATCCCTCAAGAATATATCCTGGGACCTTCACTATCAAGTGTATAAAACTCTAATTTTTATAAAATTATCAACGAATCTAGTAGTATTAGCACTGGTCCTGCAGTTGTACTCGAACCGAGACATATTTTCTGCGAAACTCAATTTGAAAGTCTTCATACATGATATGAGTATTAATGCAGAGCTCAACATTTTCAGTATAATTGAAATTCATGTTTTTGACTGTGTTGAGGCCGAGTCTAAATGCATGAAAATATCAATTTTACTTTGTTGCCCCATTGCATTTGCAGTCCACGGCCTAGAAACTCTGAAAATAGCTTTCACGTAGTGACACAACTAATATTTTTATCATGTGTGAGAATAATCTTGCCAGTTTGGTACAAGCAATCATTTTAGCACCACCGCACTTTGTCTAACTGCTTTTTGGTATGTTCCCGGGGAACAATCATTAATTCATCCCTGTAAATGATGGGAAAGAAAAGAAAACAAATTTCAATCAAATTATATTGATACTCTTTGATATAAAGCCACTATACTATGAATGTATAAAAATAAAAAATAAAGCTGTTTTTATACATAATCTAACCTATCACTAGATATTCGATAATAAATACAAATAAATGAAGATATGATTTGTTGTGTTACAATGAAATGATGGAATCATATCACAGTATAATCATTCGTTAGATTGCAAAGTTACTTTAAAAAAAAAATGACCAAAGCTCAGAAAGAAAAGTCATTCGAAAATAAAAAGCCACTGAATCATTTCAGTGGGAAAATCAGTTTACCACAATAACTTTTTACATTTGGAAGCTGTTATATAGGATGATGCAGAAGTGAATTCAAATTCTCTCAAGATTTTTTCAGGAACTTCAACATACATTTCTCGACTAGAATTTTTAGAACATCTTTGAAGCTAATCAGCAACTATTTCTGTGTACTCTGTGTAATACTATAATAATAATATTTTTTTGGGTATACGTAATACTTTACACTGATAAAAAAAAATCAATACTGTCTACAGAAATTGAAAATGGCGTCTCTGAATCCTACCACCTCAAAGGTGAGTTCTCCGAAGCCGTGTATTTGTGTGGGCTGAAACGAAATGNTATTTAAAATAATGAGAACAACTATGTTACATTTAAAATAGTAGAATTTTTTTTTCAAATCGAAGCTTTGATCAATTCCAACTGCTATTTTCCATTATAGATTTATTTAAAAATGGGAATATATTTAGTTTTATTGAAGTTTTTAATGTTTTATAAGCAATTCATTCCATTTTGAAGTCCATTCCCAGTTTCAATTATTAAAAGTTCCGCCATTTTGTAGTAGTTGAAGATATTGACTTCATATTCTAGGATTGTGAAATATTCGTCAGGAGCTTCAAAATGATGTGTCACAAGACCTCCCTTTCCATTCAATTTTTTTCCCCAGATGGCCCCCAGTCGCCATCTTGAAATTTTCATCTTAAAGAAATGCACTGTATAACAAACAGTAGAATTACTCATTTCATATCCCATTTCCCTGATTTTCAACAAATAAAAATCAGAAATTCATTATTCAGAAATATAACCTGCGAAAATGTTTTTTTTTTTCAATTCACTCACCCATGGATATTTGCTAATTTTTTGAAGTCTCTGTTATTCTCGGCAATGGGTATCAGTACCCTATAAATATCGTTCATCGGTTCATACATGGCTGCAGCGTTGAAACTACTGGCAGCCTGTTCCAGGAGCCCTAGTAGCCCCGCTTCAGTGAAATGTGACCCAAGACAGCCTCCTTCTCGTTCGGGGCTGAGCACATCATCCGACACAGCACTTTCTTCCAGTACATTTGGACTAACTCTTTCTAAATAGAATGTAGGAAGCCCGCGAAATTTAAACATTCACCTTATTTTTGAACAGACTTCGTATCTATGTTTGATCATCTAGCACCAAAAAATAGTTAACACGTAATTCACTATATTAAAAAAAAATTACCTTGTGTTGACAATTGTAATTGATTGTGGGTTGACTAGTGGCTGCAGCTTTTCAATAAATCTTTTGTAATTTCTATCTAGTTCTCTTTGGTAATCTCTTTGGTCGGGTCCAATAAGATTTTTATTTTTCTTCAATGCATCATGGCATCTGAAAACAAACAATATCTATTATCAATAACCATGTTCCTGTTGAATTTTCTCACTTGATGATCTGTCACATCAGTTTGGGATTTTATCAAAATAAATAAGAGCAACTTTGGTAGACAGACGCAATGTGAGTACAAGTTGTGAAATCTTAGGGAGACAAGGTAAGGGTTTGAATGGGGAATGTTCCTCAATTTGGGTTATTACAGCAAATGCAAGTTTGAACAAAATAAAGTTGAGTTTAGTTCATGAGTTTTTCAAATTCACTTCGAAGAGTATTCAAATTGATGTTTCAAATGTTGGGTTTTAATTTTT